TGTTTCCTTTTAAATTTCATTATAGAGTTTGTGGAGTATTGTGATTATATCTTTTGTAAATTTCTTATAGAATACAGCTGTGAATCTATCAGGACCTGTATTCTTTATCAATATATTTTTATTACATTTTGAATTGCATTGGCTATTATTGAGTTGCTGAGAGTTCTTATATCTTTTTGATTCAGTTTTGCTAATTTGTACCTTTCTAGGAATCTATGGGTTTCTTCTGTGTCTTCTATTCTGTGAAAGTAAAGATTCTCAAAATAGTTATTGATTATCTTCTTAATTTTCACATGCTCTGTGGTAATTTCACACTTTCCATTCCTTATTGCTTGAATTTGAGTTTTTTCCTTCCTCTTTTTGATGAGGTTAGCTAGGTGCTTATCAATTTTACACAATCTTTCAAAGAACGAGATCTTTGTTTCATCAATTCTTTGTATTTTTTTGTCCTGATTGCATTAATTTCTTCTCTAATCTTTATAACTTACTCCCATCTTTGGGCTTTGGGTTTGACCTCCTCTATTTTTCTAGATGTTTGAGGTGCAGCATTAAGGTATTTATTTTTCCAGTTCTATTTTCCTAATGTGTGAGTTCACAACTATAAATTTCCCTCTATGCATTGATTCCATTGCATCCCATAAATTCCAATAAGTTGTGCTTAAATTTTCTTTGAACTATAGATATTGTTTAATTTCTTATTTGGTTTCCTCTACAAACTATTGATTGCTGAGGAGGGTGTTGTTTAATTTCCATGTATTTATGGGGTGTTTATGATTTCTTTCATCATTTATTTCTATTTTCATTGTACTGCAGTCAGATAATATGTATGGGATAATTTCTGTTTTCTTGCATATACCTAAGCATGATCTATGGACTAGTATGTGATCTATTTTACAAAATGTCCATCATGTGCAGCTGAAAAAAAATGTGTATTCAAATGTAGTTGGGTGGAATACTCTGTATATGTCAATTAAGTCCATTTGTTCAAACTTTTGGTTCAGTTCTGCTACTTCTTTGCTAATTTTTTGTCTGCTTGACCTATCTTTTTGGGATTAGGGTGTGTTAAGGTCTCCAGTTAATATTGTGGTATTGGATATTAGATTTTTCATGTCCATGAAGATTTGTCTTATATAGTTTTGTGCTCCCATGTCTGGTTCATACATATTAACGACTGTTACTTCTTCCTCTTGGATTTTTCCATAACCAGTATGTAGTGGCCCTCTTTATTTCATTTGATCATTATTGTGTTCAAGTTCAGACTGTCTGCAGACAGGATTGCTACCCTTTCTTTTTCCTGAAGTGCTGGGGCATGTAATATTGTTTTCTTTCCTTTGACTTTCAGCCGATCAATTTCTTTATGAGTTAATATGTTTCTTGTCCACTTTTTTGTTTAGTTTTATGAGAAATGGGTATAACTAAACAAAAAGGGAACAAGAAACATATTAATTCTGAAATAAATTTGGGAGCTGAAAGCCAAAGGAAGGAAAACAATACTACATGCACATTTTGTATCTGTATAGTCAAAATAGGGTAGATATACAGCTACTTTCTCTTAATTCAATGAATAGAAAGATTTGTACTAATAGTGTTTGTGGACAGGATATTGTGTCTGCATCTTGTACTATAAATAACCACTAAAGAGACAACCATATGCAATATACTAATTACTGAAACTGTCCTACTAATCGGTTTTGAAACTGTCTCATTGCTATTTGTTTCTCAATAATATGATTTTAAAAATATGTTTCTTGTATACAATATATTGTTGAATTCATTTCCTAACCCACTCAGCAAGTCTATTTCTTTTAACTGGTAAATTGAATCCATTTACATTGATGGTTATAACTGAGATGCACTGACGCATGATTGACGTGTTAGTCACCTCCTGTTGTATACACCTTTTTTGTTGTTGTTTGTTTAATTTTTGCCCTATTTGGTGGGTTCTCTCCATCCTCATTCATGGAGTTCTGGTCCTTTTTATTCCTCTATAGAACATCTTTTAGTAGATTATGTAGGGTTAACTTTCTTATCATGAAATTCTTTAGTTGTTCTTTGTTGTGGAAGTATTTCACTTCACCATCAAACTTGAAAGAGAGTTTTGCAGGGTATCACAGTCTGGGCTGGAATTTATTTTCTTCAAGGACTTGAAGTACTTTGCTCCACGCTCTTCTTGACTTGATGGTTTGTGAAGAGAAATCTTCCATCATTCTGATGGATTTTTTTTCTTTAAATATGATCTGTTTCTTTTCTCTAGCTACTCTTACTATATTGTTCTTATTCTAAGTTTGTGGTATCTCAATTATTGTATATCTGGGTGTACTTTTAATTGGATTGATGTTATTTGGTGTTCTATATGTTTTGGCTACCTGAATGTCAAGTTGTTTCCCCATATTTGGGAAGTTTTCTGCTTTTACTTCTGCCCATATTCTTTTTATATCATTTATGCTGTCTCCTTCTTTCTCATTGATGCCTATTTGTCTTACATTGCTTATCTTTGCATCATCTTGCAGATGTTGAATTATTTTATCCTGTATCCTAGTTGTTTTTAAGAAATCTTTTGTTTCCTTTTCATTAGCTGCAATCCTATCTTCAAGATTTGAAATTCTTCACTTTCAAGCGGTTTTGCTAGCTTGTGGTTAAGGTTTTAATTTCCCGTATATCTCTTTGAATCTGCTTCATGCATTCTATTTCTTTCCTATATTGCTCATTGAAGGAGTCCATCATTTTTCTACTCTCCTCTATATTTTTATCAGTGTCTTCTTTAGAAGCACTTAGTAATTCCTTATTATAGGTATTATTTCTTTTTTTACTTCAGAGATTATTTCTGATCTATATCCTGTATACCTTTCTCAGTTGTTTCTTTACTTCAAACGTTATTATTTCAGAGATTTCAGTTGTGAGATTTTCAATTTCTTCTATGCTAGTGTCTCCTGCATTTGTTCTGGGTGGGCTTGGGACCATAGAGTGCATTTTGTTCCTTCTCTTTGTTATTTTTTATAGCACTGTCTTCTGACCTTTGGTGCAGAGCCTTAGTGCAGTAGTTACCTTAGCTCCTACTGATATTATTATCCAAGGGAGATTATGTGGTCAAGGCAGTTGCAGTTTTGCATTTATAGTACTATAATTAGTATTGATACTCTAATAATAGGTAATGAGATTTAGTGCTTGACAAAGTTTTGTAATTAATGGGTTTGTATTTTCAACCCTAAAGGCCCATATCATGACTGTATAGCTAAGAAAATATAATGTGGGGAATTTGTATTTAAATTAGTTCCCCTGAGATCTAGCCAATCATCTCCCCTTGAAGTTCCCTGAGACTTCCAGGAAACCTTTCACCCCAGTTACCTGTTGTGCCCTCTTTTAACAGAGAGAGAGAGAGAGAGAGAGAGAGAGAGAGAGAGAGAGAGAGAGAGAGAGACAGAGACAGAGAGAGAGAGAGAGAGAATGAATATGCTCTCATACACCTGGGTCTAGCAGCATGTCTCAACTTACAAAGTCCGGATCATCCAGCTGGGCCTGGCTGGGGTCTGGCTGCTGTGATTGGTTTCTACCTGTTGCAGCCCACATAAGTGACCCTGTTGAGCCTCATTGGTGAGCTGTTCTGCTCCTGGATTTGCTGGCTAGATCTCGCTCCTAGCCACTCTACGAGGAGTTCTACTGCAGAATTCCACACCAAACCTGACTGCTGGCTGGAGGAAGGAGGTTACAGTGGAGTGCAGGGCCTGGCTACTGGCTGGAGTCCTCAATATTTTATGTAATTTACAATGTCAAAGTTGGCTCCTTGGCCTACACCATATCCTAGTTATTTTTTAAGTGTTTCCTCATCACCAAAGCTTCCCTTACTCTATATTTTGAAGTTTCTCCTAGTACTTCCCACAGTATTTGATGAGATCTTCTATGTTCCTTCTTTAATGTCTACCAGTTCCAGTAGAGTATAAACTCAGAGATTAAAGGTCATTTGGTCTCCTCTACATGCTTAACACTTGCCAACAGAACCTAGTACTTAATAGATGTGCAAAAGTGTTTGGGAAAGCTGGATATGGGGGTACATCCCTGAGGTCTCAGCACTCGGGGAAGCTGAGACTGGAGGACAGCAAGTTTCAGCTCAGTGTGGACAGTGAATCAACATAAATATACCCTCTGCCAAACTAAACTAAACTAAACTAAACAACTAAACTAAACTAAACTAAACTAAACTAAACTGAATTAAACTAGTAATTTTTTTAAAGGTAAAATATAATGGGTGAAAATATAACTCAGTGCAAAGATCCTGGGTTCAGTTTCCCAGTACTAAAAAAGAAAAAGCTTGAGGAATGATTGGCAAGTGGCTTAGAGGATGAAAAATGAAATGACATAGAAGTGTACAGGGGAAAGTTAAATAAAGACTTCTGAGAATGGCAACACCTGAAATTCAAAGCACATTGCCGCTGGTAGGTGAGATGGTTAAAAAATCAGAGGGTTAAAACATAGATGATGTCAAGGCAAAGTACATAAGACCAGTGCTGTATTAGGGATTTGACTTGTTCTTCCAGCCAAATTAGGCACAACCTAAGAGGAAAGGCAAATAAAGCTGGCATGTTGGATTGGAGTCAGGATGGAGAGCAATTTGGGACATGTCCAATATGAGAACTTAGATATTAAAGTAAAATGAGGAATCTTTGTTCTTTCATTCTATCTGTTGCCAATAGTGTGGCAGTTGTCCAAGTCATTTAATTATCTGAACTGTGTATTTTTCATTCATACCACAGGATGACTGCTCTAATTTTGTGTTGCCTGCCTAGATTTTATAAAGTTTGGCATAGATTCTGATGAATTTCTTTGAGATTTAAAACTGTGTACCAAATTACAAACATTTCTAAAAATGTCATGTGCAATTTGGGATTAAATTTACATACATTTTATAGAGCAAAAAAATTCACAGTTTCAGAAGGAGTTCTATGTCATTTTACCTTTCCCGTGCTTTTAAAATGACTTAAATTGGATGATGTCTTCCATCTCACCTTGCTGAGAGTCTCCAGTGAATTCCCCAGCAGCAACTGAGTATCCTATTTAAAATAAAAGAAACTAATCAGATTTGGTGATGGAAAAATTAGTTATATTAGAAAAATGAAAGCATTACCATGGTACTGCTTTAGCCAGAGGTCACTACAAAATTATAAAAATTCAGGTTTCTATAAAAGTAAAAATCAACTACAATATGAATACTTCATACTGAGTCATAGGTGCAGAATAGATCTGCTACTGTGATCTTAAAATGGAACAGAGCAAAGCAAAGAAATAAAACAAAAATCATACCTGAAGATTGATTTTCAAAGAGAAACACTTCATAATCTACCTTAAAATATAAGAGGCTGCCTTGTATTTTAATGGCTGTAGATTGTTGCTCATCAAACATGATATTCTGACAGGTAGCTTTTGTGGTTGGGCTTTGCTGTTTCTGATCATCATCACGGTATGTTTCCTAATTCGTTTAATGGTGGCATTCCACAAGTGTGATTCTTTACTTTTCAAATTTATCAAGCTATCAGAATGCCATTAATATCTCCAAAAGTAGGAAATATCAGTAATACCATTGTATTTCAATTTGCATATAATAAAAATTAAGAATGCTGTAGCATGCTGTGGTTCACATCTAGATGTCACCCCCACACCCTTGTGCCCCCATGTATGGGGCTTTTAAGAGTGATTACATTGTGGGTGTATGATACTGCATTAGTCCTGTGGACTGAAACCTCTACACACTGTAAGCTAAAACAAACCTTTCCTTCTTTAACTTGTGGGTGTTGGATATTTGGTCTCAGCACTGAGAAACAACTGAAAGCCCTAGCATGTAGAACATCTCTTGTTGCTGCTCTAGAAATGGGTTGGGATGCAAACCATGCTGCTGCCATGGCACTGATTGACCTCTCTAATTCATAGTGTCTACTACCAGAAAAATAATTTAGGTGTGAAAGAATGTCATACAGCTTACAAAAGAGCAGCTAGAAAAGTGTGGAACTCAGCCTATGCAGGTTATATACATGATGGATGAGATGAAAGCATAAACTTACAATGAAAAACTGAGTCTACTCCAAACAAGTAAGAAAACCTTCATAAGGTGTCAAACAAGTCATGAATCAAGTTAACATCTACATTTAATCTGTTTGTCTTTTAATAAACCATAAATATCTTCAGCAATGAATCTTACCAAGGTAACTATCATCGTAGGAAGCTGGAGCCACTTCTGTCTGTTTTTCTCCAGCAAGTTTCCTTAGAATATCTTTAAATGAATAATTTGCAATGACGTCGGCAATACTGGCAGTGATCACCTGACCTGTGTTAATTAAATTAATACGTTAAGTGAATGAAAACAAGAGGCGGGCTCTCCCTCTATAGACCTGGAACCACACAGTCTCTGAAAGCTGTCATGTTATTGTTTGTGTTTTGATACAATTTTTCCTGTTTACCACTAGACCTCTAAAGTAGAACTAGTTGTCACTGAGTGGGGCTTTCCATTTTGACAGAATTCTGCTAAAAATACTGATGAGCAAAAATAGATTGCCTTCCTGCTGCTTTCAGTATGATTACTTATTTCACCTTTAAATGCTAAAACTATGAAAGAGCAACTTGTGTCTGAAATTTACTTAATTATATTTTTATTCTAGATTGCCTTAGAATACAGCTTTTGTTATAGGTAGCACAAAATGCTTAAATGTGTTCTTCAAGATTTTGTTAGTGGGAAATTTGTCATAATAACCAAGATATACTTTTAACAAAGCATTTTAACAAAATTTTGGTATTCTTGCAAAGTATAGATATAATATTAAATCTTAATCACCTATATTCAACTAAGAGATTATAAATATATCAGGTAAATTAAAGAAAAGAAGTTATACAATATTTGAGACTATTCATGCTAATATATATATATAATATAAACAAATATATATAATAAATTTATAATAATAGGAAGTAGGCAGATCCAACAAAAAACTATAATTTCAGCAAGAAGGGAACTGATGGGTACTGAGATTGATACGCTAAAAACTTTAGCTAATCTCTCTAAAATAAAGTCTCGCATAAATGTCATGAAATATGGTTGCACTGGGGTACATATATTTCTACCATATCCTTAACAATTTTCCACCAAAATTTCTATCTAGTCCCATACTTATTATGGAGATCTAAAGCAAACATGTGATTTCATGCTCTTTGAGGAAAAAATTGAAGAAATGTTTTCAAAATACTAATATTTATCATTTATTTATTTATTTATTTTAGTACAGGGTCTACAAGGTCTCACTACACAGATTGGACTAGTCGTGATCCTCCTGTTTTCAGCCCCCCAAGTGCTGGGATTACAGGCACATGCCACCACGCCCAGTCTCAGTTGCTGTCTCCCAGAGGTAGGGCCAGCACTGAATGCCAGGGATCGAACCCCAGCCCTTGCACTCTGCCTAAACAGGTGCTTTAATCCACTAGGCTATCTGGCCAGCCCTATTCTTAATTTTAAGGGCAAACTATTCTTTGAAAATTCACACACAATTTCCATTGTCTTTCTGTTTGAAGTCCAGAAAAGAGTAAAGCTATTAAACCAGGTTATAACTATTGTTAAGTAATTGAGATTGAAATGGCCCTTCTGACATTAAGTTATTGTGTTTACACACAAATTTATGAAAAATGTAAGTAGGATTTGCCAGATTTTAAGATTAAAGCTCAATAGGTCCTTCCTTTCCTCCTACATATACTCTTCTTTTGTTTGTTTCCTTTAGCTTGATCTATAATCTTTATATTCTTAAGTCCATATGAAATTTTAAATTATATATCTTAGACAAATGCTTCTACACATCCTTGCCATGGCTTATTTTCAAATCATTTATATCAGATGTTTTTTCCAACATAAATAGAGGAATGGCTTATATAAAATTAAGCAAGTGAATTAAAGAAAATCTAAAACAAACATGATTTTATATCCATCTGTTAGGTATTATATTTTGTTTGCAAAATAATCTTTAAGATTAAAATGATAATTATTTGATGTTCTTAATTGTCTATGCATGAATTAAGTCTAATAGTAATTACATAAAAATGTTTATCACGAATTCGTCTTCCTGAATCTTTTCCATGGGTTTAAAATATGTCCAAGTCTCTTTCATTAAAAAAAGTGTTCTGGGCCAGCAAGACAGTTGAGCAGACTCAACCCTGCATAGGCAAGCATGCTGGCTCTGCCCCTACATGCTCTGAGCCTTCCACCAAGACCAGGCATTGTGGCACATGCCTGTAATCCCAGTACCAGGTAGGCTGAAAACAGGAGGATAACTGTGAGTCTGAGATGCATAGTGACACCTTTTAACAGCCAAATATATTTTTTTTTAAAAAAGAAAGTGTTCCCTCAACTATTCATCAGTCTCACATTCTACCCTATTTTTTCCTAACTTTACAAACAAGATTCAGCCTAGATTCTCTGTATTCTTGTTAAACGTCTCATTCATCCCTATGGCTTCAGCTACTGCCAATATGTAAATGATACAAATTTTGTTTTACCCAAGATAGCTTTCTGGTGGTTAAGCCTATATTCCTAAATACTCATGTAAAAATGCTTGGATATCCCAACATTTCCATGCTCTGCAGAGCCAAAACCAAACTCATTATCTTCTCTCTCCATCTCAGTTCAAACTTACTCTCTTCTGGTATTTTCTATTTCAGTGGGTGGTACAGGGCAAGAATTCAGAAACATATCTTTGACATCTTCCTGTCAAAGTTCTTTCTTCACTATATAGCCAATCCATCATTTAATATGTTTATTTTGACTCCAAAGTATCTCGCAAATTTCTCTTTTTTTATAATGTACACCATCACCACTCTAAGTAAGCAAACATGTTTGCCTAAAATTTACAGCTAGTTGAATTTAGAAACTTACAATCAGTGCATAACCTTATATGAATTTTGTAACTAACGTAGTTTGTTGATATTTCACTTTGGCCAACTTTTATTCCCCATTCCATACTGTAGCCAAAGTAATCTTTTCAAAACATGAACTTGGTTATAACATTCTGTGCTTAAAATTCTCTAGTAATTTACCATTATTCTTAGGACAAATACTACGTTCCTACTCTAGCTAAACACATCCACTTAAATTCTAAATTCTAGTTGTTGGGAGAACAAAGATACTGTTCACTTTGGCCAGAAAGCCCTGTGTGCTTTAGGTGGGGCCCTCCGTACTGGTCTGGCCACTCTCTCCTTTCTTTCTTAATGCCCTTCACCTTGTTTCCTCCATTATTCCCTTCATTGCCATCCTTCACAGCACACAGCACCTGATTATTGCCTCCTTTCTTTATCTAAGATACTCTCTACTCAAGATCCAGATGACAGTTCAGCTGCTTGTTCTAGAATGAACTGATCTTTGGGCTGCTGCCTTTATAGGCCTAACCTTTAGAAGAATTACAAGTCATCCCTCCTGGGTACATGCGGTCCTGTATCTGGTCCATGGCTTCCTAAGCAGAGCACAAGTTATGTTACAGCTCCCTGTGACCAATGTGTTCTCAGGACCCCATCACAACACACCTTTCCATAGTAGTATGTATCAGGATTAGAGCTTTGAAGGCACTCTTGTGGCTATCTGCTTTATGTCTAGATCTTTCCCTAGATATCAGAGAACATTAGAACCACAAATGTGTTGATTCATCATCTCCACATCTCACACAAAGCCTGAAAGAGAACCTGAGTAAATGCTTGGTATATTAATGAATGGCTTGGTATTGGGGATATTTTAGAATATCAAGTATATAACAAATTAAAAATTGAAATAATGCTATATTCAAGAAATTCTGAATAAGAATACAACATTGATGTAGTAAAACAATATTCAGTGTTATTTTTGCTTCATTTCTTTATTAATAACAACAAATAGGCACATCTTTTCAGCTAACAGAACATACCTTGCCAGTAAAAGCTTCCAGGTCCTCCTACTATGAGATCTCCATTCTATAAAACAAAAAAATGGGAACAAAAGAACAAAACAGGAACAATTGGAAGAGAAACACTGCAAGTTTTTAGAGAGTAATAAATTATTGCTAAAAAGCCCAGATCTAACAATTAGTTGCACATAAAAATGCAGCTTTTCAAAGAAGTCCTTATATCAGGGACCTGTAAATCATTTTCTTTTTTTGCTTTCAATTATTTAGTGTTATCATATTAAATAATTTTAATTTAGTGCAATTAAGCAAAATGAACCATCCCCATCTTCCGTCAGTATATGTGTGTATGTGTATGTTTGTGTGTGTGTGTGTGTGTGTGTGTGTGTGTGTAAATTTTGGCACTGTCTGTAGTAAGTAAATATATCCATGTTTAATACTGTACAATTAACAGACCTGGCCTTTTGAAATGCCATAGTAATAGAAAGCAAATTCTATTCCAATGTTTTTCAAGGCCAGTCTTTCTTTTTTCCCTAAATCAGCAAATCCACCCTCTTTCTCAAAAAAAAAAAAAAAAAAAAAAAAAAGAACAAACCAGCCAATATTAGCATTTTTGTCATCTTTTTACATATGCTTGCCTACCTTAAATATATAACGATCAGTGGGATAAACCAAAAAATCAATGATAAATGCAATGAATAGAAGTGAAACAGAATATATTGAAA